CTCTCTCTCTCTCTCTCTCTCTCTCTCTCTCTCTCTCTCACGCTCATATTGCTGTTGGCTCTCAAACATCTTTCTCCTGCACGGCTTAAATCTTCCAATGCAAAAACAAACGTCATTCTCGCAGATAATATAACACACTGAACACTGGACTCTACGCAGCACAGCCTTACTGTACACACATGTAGACAGCATATTGTCATCTTATAGTATCAGTCAATATGAATGATTTATGTAAAAAAAAATAAAAAATCAGAAATGAATACTATGAGCTTGTCTTTGCATAATAATTATGATAAAATATTTATGCTTGCATGAAAATATTCATTATCAGGTTAATAACAATAAACGTTGTTTTTATTTTGTTATTATTTTAAAAATATATTACATTTACAATCAGGTTAAATTTGTTAACAAAATGCATTAGTTAAATCATTAGGTATTATGAACTAACAATGAAAGACAATTTTTACAGCATTTAATAATCTAGGTTAATGTTAATTTCAATAGTATTGTTAATTTTTTTGTTCAACGTATATTTTTACACTTTTTTGTAAAATGTTAGTACATTTGTATAAGTATTAGCAAGTAAAAATCATTGTTAACCTTGATTAATAAACGCTGTAAAGATATCGTTCATAACTATGCGCATAAAAGCCACGTATTAAACGTATTAAAGTTAATGGAGATATATAAAATTAAACAAATTAAAATTAATGAATAAACTATTTAGGTCATGAGTGTTTTCTCCATTTTAGAGAAGATCTTTGATGTTGCATAATATTTGAATCATATACATTTAAACTGAAAATAAAATAAACGCACATACACTGTTATATAGTTAGTTTTCATGACTTTACTGTTATTTGGACATAATACAAATTATATTATATACTTTACAAATATTATATTATAAAATGTTTTGTTATATATAATAGTATATAACATTATACAAAATTATTTAATAATACATATATTTTACACCAAATTCAACAAAGTTCATAGACAAAATGTTCTAAAAATAATTCTAACACACATTATTTCTGATTTATCCTCAAGTTTTGCTTGACTCAGACTTTTGACCTAACTCAATTATTCATGTCTCCCATATGCTGTCTCTGTGTGAGAGAGTGTGTGTGTGTGTGTGTGCGTGTGTGTGTGAGTGTGTGTGTGTGTGTGCGTGTGTGTGTGTGTGTGTGCGTGTGTGTGTGCGTGTGTGTGTGTGTGTGTGCGTGTGTGTGTGCGTGTGTGTGTGTGTGTGTGTGTGTGTGGGGCCTGGCACTCACAAAGAGAGACGGTTCAATGTCGTACAGTCAGTCCGCCAGACAGATGAGCAGCGAGAGGTCAACAGAAACACACACAGAACACAAATCATGTAAACCCAAAACTACCAGTGGCTTAATCCATAATATAAACAAATTTTAGGTCAATTAATGTAATATTTTTATTAAATTAATAGTTTTGCTCTTATTTTTTGTTTGTTTATTAATTTGTATTTTAGAAGGTATTGACCTTTTAACCTTTATTTATTGTTGAACACACTAACGTGCACATGCACACATTTACATTTGCCTTGAACACACACTCATACATACCTACAGTAACAGCCTATTTGGACTATTCGTTTAAAATAGGAGAAAGGTAATTATAGGTTTTGCCAGCATGTTGTATGGAGCCTTTGATATGCAGAAACACAGATTTGAGCGGCAGGCAGCAGGTTGTGTGTGTGTGTGCAGCTGAGTGCTGATTAGATGCCTGATCAGGGCTCTGACTGCAGGGTCTCAGCTGGGGACCAGGAACATCCTTCATTACGCGTTTCCAGGGGAGTGGAATTGTGCTCGCGTGGCGGCCTGTCGCAGGGGTTATAATCATATCTGTTTAGATTAGCGGTCAGTTATCCTGACATAGACACCACCACCCCCCCCTCCCCCCTCCTCCCATTTATAGCGCATTCACATAACCTGACAAACAGTCAAAGCAGCTAAACTCACTTGGGCCCAGGACAGAACCCTGATGGACACCGTACCACAGCACGGTAATGCAGCTGATACAGTCATGTGACTCCACAGCTGTCTGTCAGCATAAACATGCAACAGTTTAACAGTCAGTAATTTAGACTTAACATCCTCATACTTACTATTTAACTTGTTCAGCGTTTATAGGCCGACTGCTGCCAAGTTACTCGCAGGGTTGGCATAAACGAGTGTGTGTTATGAGCAGGCTGTTTATAATAGACTCGCCACCGTTGCCCCTCGCAGGCGGATAATTGCACGCTCCGGTCTCAAAATGCAAAGCTGAACGCGATCAGACCTGTTTTAGAGACATGGAAACCTATGCCTTTTTTTTCATCTTTCCTTCTATATGCAATTTTTTAAGGCAAGCATTCACACACAGCCGTTGGGGATTAGGCCTAATGACAGAAGTTAATTATATTAAGTGTAATTTTTAAAAACAGTTCATGAACTGCAAATTATAGTTAAGAGCCCCTTTAATGCTCTTCGTGTTAATTACATGTCTTAATATCGCATACAAAATAAAGGATCCAAGGGGGAAAAAAAAGATAGGGAGCGAAAAACAATTTGTGAGTACATTAATTTCGTCCATCACTCTGTTTAAAATGGTTGAATAGAGTGTTTATAGAGTTTTTAGCCAAAGACTTTACTGGGCTTTCACCGTGCAACTAAATACTAATACCATTATACAGTTTTAATAATGAAAAGGCAATCACAGTAATTTTACACTTGATGCAAAATATTCAGTTCATGATTATATTTTGAAAAAAGAAAATGTGTTGGATAATATCATAACCACAATTTGATATGCATTTTCTTAATTCGATTCAGCGGACATACAAAGCATCAAAGACGATCTGTTCAAAACACCACAAACACACAATGTGGCTTTCTTTTTTGAATTATATGTTTGGCCTTGTTGCCGAAATTTTGATAGGACAGTTTGAGGAAGCAGTTGGAGAGCGGAGAGAGATCTTAATGCATGTTCCTGCTCTTGTAAATGATTCGTTAGTGCATTTTATTTCTGCTTAACATCTGA